AATAATAATAATAATAATAATAATAATAATAATAATAATAAACCTCTGTGTGTTTGTGTCTGTGAGTGAGTGAATGTGTCAGTGTCACGTGATTCCATTTCTTTTTGACATTTTTTTTTTTCCAGAATAGGATAACCCCGATACAAAAGAAAAAGCCACACACACTTACACACACACACACACACACACAAATACAAGAACAAAGGGAGGGAGGGAGGGAGAAAGGGAGAGAAACGAATAAATAAGTAAAAGCAAAGTACAAAGCATAGGGAAGAGTGAATCTTTCGTTCTTTTTATTTTCTTTTTTTATTTATTATTTTTTTTGTTTGTCGTTTCTATTTTTTTTTTTTTTCTTCTTCTTCTTCTCCACTTTAACTGGTTAAGTCTCTACTTTTTAGGATCGCCCATAAAACGACGTGCAGCTCCTTTTGCCCAACGGCTCACTCCTCCTCTCTCTTCACTTGGTGTTGGGGTATTATTACGATTGTTATTATTGCTGTTCGTATTGCTGGTAGTCCCATTGTTATTATTACGACCCTTGTTCGTGCTGCTACTCACGGGGCTGTTGGGATCTGTGTTGATGGCATTTTCAAAGAGTGTTAAATTCCCCCGCGTTGAGGTAATGCCGGCGTCAAGGGCTTCCACAATCATCCAGCGAATCAACACCGCGAGATCCCCTGGGGCATCAAGTTCTTCACCCTTCTGTGCTCGTGCGAGGACATCCCGTTCCTTTTCCCTTTCTGTTTCATTTCCACCCATTTCATTATTCTCCTCCTCATTCTTCTTGTTGTTCTTGTTATTATTATTATTATTATTTCTTTCCCATCCACCGCCCATTCTCCGCACGGTATCGGCGAGTCGCTGCAGTTCATGCCGTTCCTTCCGCACACTTTCGAGTACCCGTTCGGTATCGGCGCTGCTGGCGGGAATAGAGCGGCGCAGGGAGTGCACCACGTGTTGAACAGATGGAAACAATCCAATCATCTCACGGTGAAATTGACGAATTTGTGCGTTTGCCAATCCACGTGCGGTGTCGGGACGCATGCCGTTGGTGTCGTGTCGGATCTTCTCTGTGTGTTGTTCCAACTCGGCACACACCTCCGCATACTCCCGCGCCAGCCGCGTATTCTCCCCTGTTAACCGCTCACACTCCACTTTATAATTAATAATACGCCCAGAGGCATCACGGGCGTGTGTGTTCGCATCATTTAATTTCTCCCGCATTGCCGCCACCTCCTCCTGTTGGGATGTAATGATGGTGTTTAATTTGGAGACCTCCTCCTGCGAGGTCCGTAGTTCCCGTTGGAGTCGATTGATTTCATACAACATACTTTCATTCTCCTCCAGTAGCTGCAGAGTGGTGGGGTCGAGATCAACAGTCGGGAGGGCACTTCCGCTGACACTGCGGGTCGTTTTTATACGCGCAATATCCGACAAATTCGCCGGACGCTCCGCAATGGGAGACTGCTCACGTCCTTTATCCGTCATTCCTCACTTGCGTAGTAGTACTTATATATATATATATATAT